ATGGAGCTTAGCCACACCATTTGTGTCAAATTCTCACATATTCATATACACAAATCATCAAAATCAATTTCTCACACACACACACACACATAAGTGAAACAAATTACAAAACATCATACACTTACTTGGTTAGCATCTAAGCCTACCCACATACCCATCACTAGAGCACCCTCGGTGAGATGCTACATCACATATATATACAAGCAAGTTTTCACAACACAATTTATATACACATTCATATTTTTCCTTTCACATACACTTATGCATTCTAATTAGCAACTCAAATTCTAAATATAACTTTATACATTCATTCTACACAATTAGTAGTCATACCACTAGCAAGTGAGGCTACTCTTTTCTCACTTCCTTTCCCAACTTTCTCATGCTCTCTTCATCTATGTACAAAAGTAACAGAGTGACCCAATAACTTGAAGGTAATTCCAATTACAAGTTAGTAAGAAAAATTATAAATAAGAGATAAAGTAGCATGTAAGAATTCATTCTCATCAATCTCATCATGCTCATGTTAATGCATCCTTAATTCCACCTAGTGGAGCAATCTCTATACTCGGACTAGGACTTTCGGTCACATAGAATAGGGCCTATTATACCTCTACTCAAACTATGTATCGTCTTTGCATATGGGTGATCTCCTAGGTCCATTGTAGTAAAGTCAAACTCTAGTTTAGAATCATCAAGACTTCCTAGCCACACAGAGTAGGATCATGACCCCTATCCTAATCTAGGACATACTCGTAAACCATTCATTATCCTAGGTCCGTCGTGGCGAAGTCAAGCTTTACGCTCAGGATCATCAAAATCTCCTAGGTCCATCCTGGTGGAGTCAAGATCTACATTCAAGATCATCAAGACTTTCTAGACTTGCTTAGAGTAGGGTTGCGTCCCCCTACCATTGTGCAGGGTATTCTCTCATGGATGTAATGTACATGTTTGCACATGTCTTTTCAAATTCATTTCATATATTATTCACACACCGCATACATACTCTTTTCACAAGGCTACTACTCTATCAGTTGATAACATAATGTATACTTGTAAATAATTTCACAAACAAACAAGTAAAAAAGTTACTCCAGTTACCTTTAACCCTTACTACTAAGGGTTACCAATCATAGGACTTCTAAGGTGCAAATTCTCACGAGCAACTTCTCCAATACTCAATCTACATAATATAATGTCCTCAGGTCAATTCTCAACACTTAACATAGGCATTAATTCAGCTAAACTGAATCCTTTAGCACACTAAACGGTTCAATTAATACCTTTTGAATTCATAAATCTACTATCTATAGTCATTAGCCTTATAAGCTACTCAAATGATCATATCAACCTCCTAACTCATTTATTCAATCAATTTTCACCATTTAACCTAACTTTTTAGGCTATTTTGAGCTTAAATCCTTAAAGCTTAACCATTTAATTCCAAACTAGTCATAAAACATTAGTTTCATATTCGAAAGCCCTTTTTAGACCTTTCTTTTAGATTCTGATACCTTAAAACTTCCTGATTCGATTTCTCAACTAATCAAATTTAATGAAAATGGAGTAAAAATGAAGCTTAGAGCTGTACGATACTTACCTAACAAGTTGCTAGTCTAAGCAAACTCCCGATAGTTGGATAATCAATTTCCTAGCAGAGATGAACTCTCCTCACCTCTCAACTGCATTTTCCCCTCTTTCTCTTTCTATTTTCACAAGTTCTAACTTAACCTTTAAGTAATTTTTGTACAATGCGCCACAACGCATGCAGATTCTGCCATGGCGTGTGGTACAGTGAGGTCAAACTCACTTCTGCTTGCGTTTTTCACCATGAATTTCCATTTTACTCTTCAATCCTATCAACGTAACAATCAACCAACACAAAATATCAACTCGACATTCCAACCACAATCAATTCACTAATTATTAATTTACCCCTGATTAGCAACTAGTTTTTTTGGATTGAAATTCAGGATGTTACAAGTTACATAGGCTATAATAAGAAACCATGGCCTTTCATTAGTAAAAGATACAAAAAGATTACCAAATTGCATATTTTCTTCAATCAAATTCACGTACACATGCTAACTCTTCCATCCAGTCCAAATACCCCTTACAAAACCTCTACCTTCAATCACAATGCACTCCTTAAACCTCAATCTACTAAATAGATTTATTCATATTCACTCTTGTTTTAGGAAGAGTAACTAAATCCACCCTTCTATCCTTCACAACCATCTTGAAACCACATTCAAACTCCTTGCCCCCAGGACCTCTTTAATTTTATACTAAAAAATTGTTATTCATATCAACCTTTAAAAATAAATTAATTAATGGCCAAACTTAGCCTTATCAAAATGAACAATAACTAAATTTTCATCTTCATCTGAAACACAATTCATAGATACCACAACATCTGTAATGCCCCCTCTGTCAGGTGATCTCCTCTAAAATTACCCTGAAATTATGAAATACCTCTTGAAATTAAAGGCAATCGTGAGGTATTAATATCAAGCTTCCTTAAAGTATCCATATTTCAAGGATAACTTCCCCCTCCCCCTTATTAATACTATAAGCATATTCAAGCAGTAGTTTTATAAAGCTAGCCTCTACCAACCTTACCCTCTACTACCTACTATACTCCAGAGATGATGAAGGAGACTTTACCTTTCCTACATATGAATCCACCAATTGGACCATTAACATATCATCATCATTATCCTTTTGAATAGATAGCAAACTTCCCTAGAGTACCTCCTCCTTTTGACCAATAAATCCCTAATCAATATCCATACATCTCCCTTATGACTTTACCTTTCCTCAACAACTAACGCTCTAAAATGAGACCCATCATTCCCCTTAGAATCATGGTGTGCTTCAAGTTCATTTGACTTTCCATCACCCCCCAGCATCCTTATCTTATAGAATTTTTGAGACACTAACCGAGTACCAAACATTACCTCCTCTTCGCTCACAATACCATCTTGGTCAAAATGATGTTTTAGAGAACATGCTTTATCCACATGATTATACTTTCTACAAGCAAAACAAAGGAGATGCAAACCCTCATATTCAATAATATACTCTTTTCCCTTAAGAATACACTTAAGAAGCAATGCATCACTCAACTTAATCTGTACTCTTACTCTTGCATACCTCCCTGAAGTCAAAATAGAAGTCAACATATCAACATTTATATTTTCTCAAATTCTATTACCTATACATTCCAAAATTGCCTTATTGTAATATTCTAAAGGAAGATCAAGAAAAACATGCCCAAATCAACAATCACCAACAAAAGCCTTCATTGGATTGAAATTGGAATACCACTACCTGATAGTCATATAGTGATCAAAAGCATCTATGAACTACCTTTTAACATGGTATCAAAATCATCCTTGCTAGAAAAACGTACAACAAAATCATTTCCTATATCAATAACAAAGACCACACCTACTTTTGCCCAAAGTGACTATATGACTCTCCATCCTCTCAATGCCTAACCACATACTAAGAAACTTGACCACAAGACTCAACATAGAAGGCTTATGGATCCTCTTCTTCTCTTCCTTTGTCAAAACTAACTCAAGGATCAACCACTCACCTCTCTTATATTCAATAATAGAGATACTTGCCTTTCTCTTCTCTCTTGAAATAGGATTAATGCCTATCGACCTATAAAAACACACAACTCCTTTCTTCCCTATAAGATTTGACTATAGGAGCCCACCAAATCCCTAGCCTTTACCATTCCTCTCAAAAACCTCTTATATCATAAGTCTCCTAATGATCTTTCTTAATCTTTTACTTGCTCTAATGAATTAAATATGCCTCCTCCACTATCTTACACCCTTCTTCAAGCATAGGAAAGTTAGCAAAGTGAGAGCATTCTCATCAAAACTTCACGCGTTGAGAATTTTTTTTATTGGAATTGACATGTCATGCAATTCCAAAAAGAACTTATCTATGCTAAATATTGGAATATATATTGCAGTTGTTACTACTGAATGAAGTCAATAGCGATTGATAAGGCTAAGGTTCAATTGGGATAGTTAGAAAGTATATAAAATAAATAAGAAGTGAAAGGGCTATGAAGAAAAGGGGAAGAAGAAAAAGAATGTGAAAAGGACAATGACAATAGAGAAAAAAGTTATTTTTATTGGAAACGTGAAAGTTAATAATTATTTGAAAATGAATATTAATGTGTCAAATAGAAGTTGAATCCAAATTAATAGTAAGGATAAAAAAAATTTCATGTAGAAAATTAATTAAAGCCACAATTATTAAGTAAAAAAGAACTGCTTACCTTTAACCTTAACCTTATGTGAATGGAGTCATTAGTTGAATTGAATGATGATTGATTAATTGATTATAATATATTATTTAAAAATATAAATAAATAAATTATTTTTTAAATTTTAGGTACTATAACACCATAGATTCTAAACTTATTTATCATGTAAATTATTCTCTTAACTTTTAAAAGTGATGCAATCTTACTTTTACCATTAGAAAAAGTTAATTTTAATTATTAGTTGATCCAAAAATAATAGAAAATGTCCTTGTTTGTAATTTTCGAGTTCTTTAATATAATTTTTTGATCTTTTTCTTTAATTTTTTGTTTTATTTTCTAGTTCGATCATGGTTAACTTTTGTTAATAGTAAAGATTAAATTTTATCATTTTTAAAAGTTAAAAGAATAATTTGTATAATAAACTAGTTTAAAGTTTATGATGTAATTAAATTTAAAGTTTAGGAGATAATTTTTTCATTTATTCTAATTAAAATATACATGCATATATTATTATATATATAGATAAAAATTAATTATTTTATCCTATAATTTTGACTAAATTATAATTTTATTTTTAAATTTTAATTCGATATAACATAATTTTTATAATTCTGATTTAATTTTAATCCCTAATTTCAAGAAATAACTTAAATATGATTAATTTACAATATATATAAATAAGACAAATGAACGAGGGCTTGGCGGCATGGCGGGGTCGTTGGTTTGGGTGGAGGCGTCGCGCACTCCCACGTGTAGCCGGCGACTGAGAGCTGAGAGTGTTGATGGAGAAGGGGGAATCCTCGCCGGTGGTGATAGCGGTGCCGGAGGTGAGGGAAAATTAGTGGCTAGGGCCTATCTTTAGGCAAGAACAACCAGGGAAAGCCAGGGTTGTGGGAGTTCGGTTCGGCCGAGACATGACGTAGAAGGGGAGTCGGCACCGGAGTTGATAGTGGTGACAGAGAAGAGAGAAAAGTAGTGGTTTAGGGTGCTTTGGAGGGTGAAATTTCGCTTTCAAGGTTCGGATCCCATGCACCTTAATCTATCTTTTCGTCCATGATTCCATTATAGTCGTTCTCTCTGTCTTTTACGTTTGTGTGGATCAGGATTTACGTTTGGCTTAGGCTGGACAATTTGCTGATGTTCGGCTGTGCAAATATCTTATGCTTCTTTGCAAATAATTTTTCAATCTTTGAAAATGCTGAGAATATTTAAGTTCTTTTTATCAATCTCTGCAAATATTTTGAAGTTCAATGTCTGCAAGAAAAAATTTCAATCTGTTCCACTTTTATCTGCTTCTTTATGAGTAGTTCCGTGATTTACGAGCAGGTGGAAAGGAGACTGATTTCCATTTACCTTGCTGAAAGTTCGCCCAACGAGAAGTCTCCTAATTGACACACCCAATTTTCTGCAAGTATAATTGTGGTTTTATTTTTTATTTTTTATTTTTTATTTTTTTGTTTGGTTTCCACCCTAATTTTCTTTCTGTAAGTCATTTCTGACGTCTTAACTAAATCAAATAAGAGGTAGTCAAGTAATTGATATTGTCTAAAAAAGTTCTTATTAAATGTATCATCTATAAAACATTTTATCTCTCATATGTAAAATTTTACTTCACTTGTAGAAAATTACAAAAAGGTAAAATTAGAAGTAATTAATTTTCCATTTTTTATCCAATGTGACTTATAAAAAAGACTGTCAATTTCTTCCAGAAGGTGACTTGCATATAGGATTGGAGGGAGTAGTTCTTTAGATCCCTAGGCTAGTTGTAGCCATGCCGAATTTTATCACAAGTAATTGTGTAAGCATGGTCCATGAATGGAAGCTTCAAATTCATTTTTCTATTCTGTTTTGTGCAGATTTTGAGGTAGGTTTTCAAGTTGCGGTGTCGCTGTTCCTTGGGCATATACAAGTTTTGTTTACGCTCGCTTGAATCTTCTAATTTTAAGTTCAAGGATGGTTTGGACTTTGGATGGTTGAATGGCTCCTATCATAATTTGCTAACTAATAAGGACAAAGAAGTTTTGATAATTTGTAAGGAGAAGCTGACGTATGAGCTAGGTTTTGTTGAAAATGATGGCATCATTGTCTTTGTGCTCTTTCTCTTGAAAGCTTGATAGCCTGATTACTCTTTTGCTCTAGAAAAGATAGGGTAAGGCGATGAAATGGAGGATAAAAACATGGCTCGGCTTCTATTCAGTGCACAATGGCATGCTGATATCATAAGGGTTTCGCTGCTTTCTGACAAGTTAGGTTCAGATGGGTAGAACATTTTCTATGTTTAAAGATATAGAAACATTCCCTTTTGAAAACAGTCATGCTTCCTCTTTACTGTTTAAAAAAAATGTTCACTTAATAAGTTTAAAGATATTGAAAACATTCCTTTTCTTGATTTATTTTCTGGATATGGAGATTGTAACTTGGTAGTGGTAGCATATTCTGCTGGGCAAACACACCTAAATACATTGCACTTTGTTGCGCAATTATCATAGTGATCATCTTGATTTTTCACATAATTTAGATTTGCGGTTACAAAATACTATTAGCTTCATCTTTTTTATAGTAGGATATTTCTGGACAGGTTCTTTATGGTAAGGAGTAAGGTGAGGTTCCTCGGAGATTGGCTTATTGAGGTTAGCTCTTTTAAATCAAAATGGAAGCTCCCCTGGATGATGGAAATAGGGACGTGCAAACTTCTGGGGATGCTGGCATGAGTACACATGAAGTTCAAATTAATCAAGAACCATACGAAGGTTTGTCATTTGAATCAGAAAAGGCTGCAAGAGAATTCTATGATAATTACGCCTCACGGGAAGGATTCACAACTCGTGTTCTTTCATCACGAAAGTCTGAGCGAGATGGTTCAATCATCTCTCGTGGACTTGGATGTAGAGGTGTGTCTTATAGTCGAACAAAAACTACATTTGAGAAGCAAGATCGACAAAATGTTTGTACAGCAATGATTCTGTTGAAGAGAGAAAAGGATGGGGAATGGGTCATCCGGAAATTTGTTAGGGACCATAATCATCCAGTGATGGTTGACTTGGAGAAAACTCCTCGAACACTCGTAAGACTGTCCTAGATCTGAAATTTCTGTAGGATGTTAATTTTCCCTTCTTTTATGGTCTTGCATATGCATGCCACTCTAGAATTGTCACGTAGCCTGGTGGAAAAATTAACTGTAGGATTGTACTGATTCTCTTGTACATGTTTCTGTGTAATTGATTTTGTAGGATGAGAAGGATAAGAAAATTCAAGAATTGACTGCTGAAGTGCGGATTAAGAAGCGATTGAGTGCATCATACCGGGAGCAGTTAGAAACATTGTTGAAGGATGTTGAAGGCCACAGTGAACATATCTCCAAGAAAATCCATTTAGTTAATGAAACTCTTAGGAAACTTGATGCTCGGATGGGAAAACTTCCAGAAATAGATCAATGAATCATGTGAGTTTTTTTTCCTTTTTTTTTTTTAACCTTAATGAATCATGTGAGTAGCTATCTACACATTTAGCAGTCCTGCCTATTTGTCCAATACCATTTCACTGATAGAGATATTGAAGTTTGTCCTATATATCATGTCAATCCCTGTTTCTATCTTGGGTTCTAGTACTTTATTATCGGTTTTCCATAGAAATAATCCACAAATAGGTCTTATTCATGACTTGCTGTCTATGATGTGTTCTACTTCTGTTTTATCTGTTTCCCTAATAGAAAAATATCACCTAACTCATTCATGGTTTTGGTACTGTATTATCTGTTATATGTCTTATTCATGGTTTTAGTACTGTATTATCTGCTTCCTCTCTGCACCATCACAATCCATTCTAAATTTTAGCTTTTACACTTAACATGGTAGTTGAAAGCAAGGAATGTTTCTACATCTTTAAACTTAATTTGGTGAATATTGCCTTCATAATGCCCCCATTTGTTTTCAGAGTGTAGTTCCATTCTTTGATCATATTAATATGCACAGGAGAAAGCACAGCTCAGACAGGTGGATACCAATCTGCACGCACGCACACACACCTGTATTGCTTCTCTGGCCTAACGTGGCTCAAGATAGATCTCTGATCTTTACAAAAACAAGATTGGATTCAAGGAGATAGGAAGGTAATTTTCTGAGTCTGTACATTATGTGAGGCATTTTGATTTGTCGTTGGCACAAAGCAAAAATGGTTTCTTTAGATTAGTTTGAGGTAAGAATGTGATTGTTGCATGACGGTGCACTCAAGGGCAGAAAGTTGATGAGACTAATCTTGTAAATTCAAAAGGATTGATGTCCGAATTTGTAGTGTAAAAGGGAAGATGTAATGCATTGAGAAAAGCAATAATTGTTAAATTTTAGTATTTAAGAAAATCAGAAATTGTGTATAATATGTAGTTTAAGAGCTTGATGTTATCTTTTTGGCACTTTGGGAAATTGTTGCTTGAGAAAGATAGAAGAGAATATTAATGAATGACTCTTGAAAAGATTTAATATCTGACAAGTACTTTAGACAAATCAAATATTTGTTAAAAAAATAATTTCACTTGTTAATTTGTTTATATTTATTTGTTAAAAATTCTTGTCATTCTTTCAGGACCCCTTAATTGATTTTCTCTTTTCAAATATTTAACCTCCAATTGCCCTGCCCCTAGAAACTGGTATTAACTGAACTCTCATATGAATAATAATTAATATCAGTAAGATTTTGGCCAAACGAATTAGAATTTACTGTAACATTGATCTTTCGATCCTATGCCCCATGATTTGGAATGGTTATGATTTTTGTTTCTCATGACATCATTGAGTTGGGTGAACAAATTCTATCGAGTTTCGCTGACATTTTATAAATCCATCTCTTTAATTTTGCTAAAATTACACATTTGTATGCTTTATTTTCAAAATTTATATGAATTAAATTACACAAATATTGAATTTTGCTATAATGACATAGACTGCCCTTTCAGAATTCACGAGGCACGCACGCAATCTCCACAAAACAAAGTTCATGGAATTCCAAAAATTAAAAAAAATAAAAAATAGAGGATATGTGATTTAAATTTTGCTTTTCAGATGTCAATTGTTGACTTGTCTGAGAATTATTATAAGTTCCTAAGTTATGAATAACTTAATTGCATTTTTTCATAATCACTCCAATGAGTATAATCGCTTGGAGTAATACATTCGAATATTTGAGGTTGAGTCTCATTAAAAATTTATTTCTTTGAAAAAGTCTTTCTTAACATGGATGTTAATTATTTTAAGGAAAATGACAATAAGTCTCAAAGGATTAATTTTATATCAGTTAAGTTTTAACTAATTTTAAAAGGCCAATAAAGTCCCAGAGTCCTTAAATAGTATTTTGATGTCACAAGAAAAGACCAAAACACCCTTCTTCAAGTAAAAGCTCGTTTTCTTCTCTGCCCAAACGAGTCCCAATGTGCGACGCGAAGCTCTCTTCTTTGGGTCAACGTTCTTTGATCTAAACGAGTTCTTTTTGTGCGACAAGCTCTCTTTTCTGGGTCAACCTTCTTGAAGTAACTCTGAAATGCTCGATTACTTCTTTGCCTTGCTGATGAGATCTCGTGTGTGTGACGAGCTCTCTTCTCTGCCCTAACGATGAGCTCTGTTCTGATCTTCTCTGCCCTAGTAAGGAGCTATTTCGATTGATTGATTGGAGGAAAGCTTCTCTGCCTTGAATTGAGGTTGCAGTTGCATAGGGTGAATGAGGGCTTGGTGGGGCCCAAGGGGAGTGATGTTTCTGGGGGCGACATGCGTAGCCGGCAACTAAGAGTTGAACACTTAAAGGATAAGAGGGAAACGTTGGCGGCGGTGACAAAGGTGAGGGAAAATCGATGGTGAGGGCCAAGATTTTGGCAATAACGACTACGGAGAGCCAAGGGGGAGGTTTTTGCCATTAAGGTTTGGATTTATATGCCTAAATCTCTCTTCTTCTTTTTTGGCCAGAGGAAGATTATATTAATATAGGAAAACTCTCTTTTTATCTAACCTTTCAATGATGTGAGTATAGTTGTTCTCTTTGGATACTACATTTTTATGGAGCAACGATTTTCATTTTAGTGTACAATTTACTGATGCTCGGCTGTGAAAATATGTTGTGCTTCTTCTTTGCAAATAATTTTTCAATCCATGAAAATGCTGACAATATTTAAGTTCTCTTCATCAATGCATGCAAATATTTTAATGTTCAATGGATGGAAATAAATTTTCAATCTGATTCACTTCTCCTAGGCAATTCCGTACAAATGTCTCTTTATCAATTTGTTCTGCTTCTTCATGAGTAGTTCAGTGAATTTATCTTTCTCTTCCTTCCTGGACCCAGCCTCTCCCCCCACCAACATAAAAAAAACACCCCACCCCCCAAGGGGAAGGAAACATCCCTCCTCCATTCGAAGGGAGTGTCTAGTCCCCACATCTTTGTTCAGTGTTGACTGCCAACATTAGGCCATGAAACAGCCAGCCTTCACCAGCATCACTCTCACTCCCTGTAACTTAAGGTGTGTTTTTTATGCATGTTTCCTGCGAGTGTTTATCCTATTGAAGATCCTTTTTTGGATTGGGAATTTAACACAAAAAGAAATAGTTTTGAGAATTTATTGCAAAAAGAGACATTTTTTTAACTGTCAAAGAAAAGAAGGTGATTTTCTAGGTTTTATTAGTCCAATCTTTCTCGCCCAAAACTTGTTTGTGTTTTTCTCAATTTCTCTTTGCAAAAGTTCAGCTTCTCTTTTCTTGTAGACATGCATGTTTGTTGTGCCCTTTGACCATGAGCAAATTTGCTAGGCTTTATTAATGAAATTCTTCTTGTTACTGCTTACTTTCTTTCAATTTATTGGTTTAATTTTAACCTTTTTTTTTGGACTTGCATCGATGATAATTAGGTGGGAAGCTTGTTTGTCAGGGCACAAAGAAGCAAGCTAGTAGGCTTATGTCCTGCTACTAAAATAATTTTCTGTTTTTATATGTATAACTTTAAAGGTTTAATGTACATGCGTAAGCAAAGAACTGCTCATGTTTGGTAGATCAATTTTATTTGATTATTATACATAGAATTATTCACAATGTCATCTTGGAATGAGTCCTACTTTACTTCCTAAACATGTTGCTGTTGTTCTAAGATCTCAAAAGGACCCACTTAAAGCTCTTGAAATGTTCAACTCAGTGAAAAAGGAAGATGGATTCAAGCACACATTATTCACTTATAAATGCATGGTTGAAAAACTTGGATTGCACGGGGAATTTGATGCAAGAACAATGAATATTTATTGACGCAGATTAACTGGAGTGATCATTTTGATTTTCTTTAAGTTAAATTGTCAATTTGGTTAAACATTTGAGTAAACTCATTTGTTTTATGATAAATCAATTTATGTTGTAGGAATATGCATGGGAGATTTTGTAAAATACTTTTATTTAGGTGTTAATTTTTATAACAAAATATGGCATATCAATACGGTGTTTCCAATTCGAGTAGCATTTTGTAAGACCTGGTTCTTGTTCATATCTTCTATGCAATCTTCTATGTTTGTTTTGCTTCCTTTTATGTGAGGTTCCAAGTTTGTTACAGCATAAGATAGATAATGTGTGCATTGGTACCCTACCCATTTATGATTATAGTAGCCAAACTATGATGAGATACATTGAAATATGAAGAATCTTTTAGGTAGTGTTTGGTATGTGCATTCTTTAGTTTTGCCAAGCACTTGAAACCTATTTAAAAGTTAAGTGTTGTATACATCCCAACAATATATTATTTTGTAATTGTATATATCTCATGATCCATTCATTCATTCATATTATATATATATATATATATAGGTTTTAGAGTCCTTAATAATTAGGATGCCTACACTCTAAAAGCTGCATTTATATTAGGATGATATTTGTAATGATGTGGCTTGGGACTGTAATCACTGCATATACATGTCCTTTAATTTAGCTTATATGTAATCATAGTGGCTTGATATTTTTAATGCTAACCACTCACAGCTTTTCCTCATTTTTGTGATATCCAAATCAATTAAATAGTGTGAAAAGTAAAAGGCAAACAATAGGACAAAATGGAGGGAATTTGGCTGAATTAAAAGCTGCCACCTTGCATGTTCACTATTCCATGTCAGCTTATATGTATGTGGTGTGTTTTTGGTTGTAACATTTGGTTGAATCTGTTTCGTTTGCTTTTGTTGCAGACCAAAAAAAGTAATTTGCATCTGAGACACCAAGAAACTATGGACAACAAGAAAGCTACAATAAAAAAGAAGTCTGGATATGACAACTTTAAAAAAGAGTTTTTTAAAAAAATGAAGGAAAATTCAGTGGTCTTATAGAAGCCAATGACTCAATGAGAACAAATTGGCAAAAATTATCAAATGCTGAACAAGAAAGATATAGAAACATGGCTTCGTTAGATGGACAAGGCAAGGAATCAGCATCTTGCTCCACGGCAACGGTATCACTCACTTGTATTTATTTTAAATTAATGAGTTTTTTTAGTATGATTGTTATGCATTGTATGGTGTTATATTATTCCTCTTGGTTTGTAGGTTTCATTTAATACGCGTTGTTTTCCTGGCCAGTTCAAGGAAGTTGTGGAATAAATATCCAAACATAAAAGGTTATGTACCAAGGTCAAGAAAATGGGGTTCCAATATCTCTTGGATTTTAAATTTAATAAACTACTAAGAGAGTTATGTGAACAAGTAATTGCTACTTTTGACACACCAACCTCAACACTTGGAATTAGAGGGAAGAAATTAAGTGTTGATGGGAAGGATGTACACACCATCTTAGGTGTGCCTTATGGTGGGAAAGCTATTTTTTTAGATGACGACAGCGAAGCATCTCAAGTATTAAAGAAGAATTATCTTGGCAAACCCTTCACTGAGTTGAAGAGTATGGTAATATCCAGCAAGGCTGAAAAAAATTTTAAAACGGTGTTTTTGTTATTCACTTTTGAAACACTTCTTTGTCTAATAACAAGTACAACTATTAGTATGAGGAGTATTAAAAGTTTGAGTAGGAAGAAAAATGTTCAAGAATATGACTGGTAATCTTTTGTGTTGTCGGAGCTTATTAGAGAAATTTTGACTTATAAGACAGCATTAAGGAGTGGACAAAGGAAGAAAAATGTAGGAGGATGCTTATTTTTCTTACTGGTATAGACTATTTGAAATCTTTCTATATTTTGTTTCAATTTATTTGTTATTGATTGGATTATAATTATCCTTCTGGTACAGATATTTTACATGCAGTACTTTCCATTGGGCCCAACACCATCAGTAGATGGTGGAACGCCTGTGATGCATTTATGGAACCAATACATGGTGCAAAAATGGGATAAGCTAGAAAAAGAAAGCATCCACGACATTTTTTATGGTGGTCAGGCTAATAAAGTGTCTAAAGTTTTACCTCTACTTGCAATGATAACTCACCCAGTATATAAATGTTTATAATTTATTGTCTACGTTTTGGTTTTCACTTGCTTAATAAGTTTGGTGTTGAAACTTGGTTAGAGTGTGAGGGAGATATACGAAGAATTTCTGCAATATGCCAATACATTTGCAAGTAAAGTGCTAAAGTTGCAACAAAGTCTTAACTAACTTCAAATATTTGATAGTAAAGCTATCGTGTGGGTTGGCTAACCAAGTGAAGAAGAAGTGGAGGAAGAGGAATGTGGAGATAAAAATGAAGCTGAAGAAGATGATGGAGATGGAGACAAGGGCGAAGATGAAGCTGAAGATGCACATGAAGCTAGGGATGAAGATGGGGATGAAGATGAGGATGACGATGGACATGAAACTGCAGCTGGAGCTGGATCTAAAGAAGATGAAGATGAAGGCTCCGATAGTAAGGAAGAAAGCGATGAAAGACAAGATGGTAAGAAAAGGAGGAGAACATATGAAAGCCTAATGATTCGAAGGTCTGAGAGGAAAAGGGTTTAGGTAAATTGGTCAACTTTTTTGAAAGAACCAATACAAAGGAGAATTACAAAAGAACAACAAATATATGAATATTGCACTAGGCGGACCAATCAAGTAGAGGGTGAAGAGTAAGTAATGTGATGTTACTTTTCAATAATCATGGTGCATTATGTTTAATATAATAACACTTTTTTTGGTAGGTATGTCATTGAGATGTACGATTGCTACTTAACTAGGGCCGAATGCCAAAGTCTTGGTCTTAAAAAATGGATAAGTACAGTGGTATGTCTGATAGTTTTAATTAATTAGTTGCTTAATTAGATAGCACATTGAGTATTGGATGTGGTCTTTGTAGGTCATGAGCATGGTCGTAAAAGTGATGGTTGGTGAGAAACTTCATGAAGGAAAGGTGTGGAGGTACATATTTGATTCAGAATTTATGGCCAACCTAAGGGATAAAAAGTTAAGATGGTCTGTCTTTAAGGATGCAAAGATGCTCATGCTCGATGAACTTGGATATAACCTTGGAAATTGTGATTACCTCTTCTTAGCCATGCTTGTGTTCAATCACTGGTTTTGTTATTGTGCTAATTTGAAAAATGACAAATTTTTCATCCTTGATTTATTGGCTGGGAAATTATTTAAAGAGAAGATGATGGCCGGATTTATGGTATACTTTATTAGTGCTTTTGCATAACTACTTTAGGTTACTTAAATTTTTAGATGGGAATGGTTATCTAACTCTGAAACTATTTGTAGAGAACTAGCATAATTGAGTTGTTACAGGCATGTGACCCAGAGAAATATGGAGAGGATTTTTAGATGGAGATGATATTTGAAGAACTTCCCAAATAGAGTAATGCGTAAGTAACTATCTATAAAAACAACTACCTTTTAATGTATTCATTTCTAGTAGACATTTTGCCTTACCTTAATTGCTCATATTTGTAGAGATGATTGTGGGGTATATGTGATAAAGTACTGTGCAGAATGGGATGGTAGAAGAAGAAAAGGAGGACTGACCATGGAGGACTTTTCAAACGTATGTATATGTGATCCACAATTTTTCTAATTTTTTTCTTCCAATTATTAATGTGAAACTTAAACTTTCTTTATGTTTTTTTTAGGAATAACTGAGACAGTTTAGGGTGGATGTGGTGTGGTGGCTGGTAAATCACACGAGAAATGAAGTGAGAAACAAAGTATTTGCCTTTGTCTCAGCAGCTAACTAACCAAAGAGGACAGGAAAGAAGTGTAGATGAATTTTTAATCTGTGACATATTTTCATTATTAATCTTTGATGGGTGTGATGCATTTGCCTCGCTGAAGGTCCTACTCCTCATCAACGTTCACCATTCTAATTTTCTAGAAATTGCCTCTTCTTTAATTTTTTTCCCTTAAGTGTTTTAACTGAAGGTGGACTATGTAATTTGTACAAGTAAGGACATGCTCAATTGAATTTAAAGCTGTATTTAAATTTTAGGGCTTATAGGAATATTTTTACCAATACATTGTAGGGTGTATAAGAATAGAATTTTTGGCTATAAAATTAGGCTGGCCTTTGTGGGATATGCTTGATTAATTTTGTATCCAAAACATGTTATTTGATCAAAATTTGGTCACATGCATGCATTTTACCTAACTAAATTATGATTTTGTCTAAACAAGATTGCCAACACCTCCATTTATATTTTATATTACAGGTACTAATTAATACTTATTATTTTCAACAAATTAAAATAACATGTATTTCCTGCCAATTGATACAGCCGGGCTGCTACTTATATTACTTTAATCATATGGTGATCTAATTCAATGTAACAAATAAATCATGAAATTTTCTAAATAAAACACTCTTTGTGAATATAAAGCAAGCTGAACAAGCAAACAAATCAATTATATATAGCCAATGTCACAACTGTGTGTCAAAATTTTGGGTGGGGTAAGTAATGAATTCTTAAGAAAGTTATTATTTTAGGACAAAGCTCCAGTAATTTGCAACTAAGAGGCCAAATTTTGCAACTTCCTTAGGCAAACTTTGCAACTGATACTCGAAATTTAAGATTGAAGAACTATTAAATTCATAGAAGAGTTAAATCTTTTAAGACAAAGCTCTAGTAATTTGCAACTGAGAAACTAAATTTTGCAATGTCCTTAAAAACAATTTGCAACTGATACTCAAAGTTTTGGATCAAAAAACTATTAAACTCATTAAAAAGTTAAATTCTTTACGACAAAGCTCTAGTAATTTGCAAGTGAGAAACCAAATTTTGCAATGTCCTTAGAAACAATTTGCAACTTATATGCCAAATTTTGAATCGAAGAACTATTAAATTTGTAGAAGAGTTAAATCCTTTAAGACAAAGCTCCAGTAATTTACAACTGAAAAATCGAATTTTGCAATTTCCTTAGGAAAAATTTGCAACTCGTACTCAAAATTTTGGATTAAAAAACTATTAAATTCTGACGAGTTAAATCTTTTAGGACAACATTCTAATATTTTGCAACTGAGATACCAAATTTTACAACTTACTTAGGAAACATTTGTAACTCGTACTCAAAATTTTGGATTAAAGAACTATTAAATTCTTATAAGTTATTCTTTTTATGACAAAGCTCCAGTAATTTGCAACTAAGACACCAAATTTTGCAACTTCCTTAAGAGAAATTTGCAACTCGTACTCCAAATTTTGGATCGAAGAACTATTAAATTCTTATAAGAGTTAAATCCTTTAGGACATTGTTCCAATATTTTGCAACTGAGACACTAAAGTTTGCAACTTCATTAGGAAAAATTTGTAACTCGTACATGAAATTTTGGATCGAAGAATTATAATATTCTTACAAGAGTTATTCTTTTAGGACAATGTTCCAGTATTTTGCAACTAATACACCAACTTTTGCAACTTTCTTAGAAAATATTTGCAACTCGTACTCAAAATTGTGGATCAAAGAATTATTATATTCTTGTAAGAGTTATTCTTTCAAGACAATGTTTCAATATTTTGCAACTAAGACACCAACTTTTGTAATTTCCTTAGGAAGCATTTGTAACTCATACTCGAAATTTTGGATCGAAGAACAATTAAATTCTTACAAGAGTTATTTTTTTTATGATAAAGGTCCAATAATTTGCAATCAAGACACCAAAGTTTGCAACTTTCTTAAGAAAATGTTGCAACTTGTACACCAAATTTTGAATCGAAGAACTATTAAATTTTTACAAGAGTTAAATCTTTTAGAACATCATTCCATTTTGCAATTTAGACACCAAATTTTGAAACTTCCTTATGAAAAATTGGCAACTCGTACACGAAATTTTGGATCGACGAACTAGAAGATATGAACTGTACATGTAAGAAACATGTATTAATTCATCTAATGCATCTACACATATCAACTGTCCACATACATAAAGGCATGAACTTGGATTTACAAACGAAGGGTTGCTATGAACTAAAAAAAAAACCCTAATACTATCAATATATATCTACATAAACCTATACATGTCAACCAAATTCAAGTTGATCTAATCTCATGTTATAGAAACATTAACTTGGATTTACAACACAAGAGCTGCTATATGCCAAAAAAAAACCCCTAAAACAACCATTATGTTTATGTCACCCAAATCCAAGTTCATGTGATAACCCATTTACAATAACATCAACTTAGATTTGGATTTCTACACCTCTTCCGCGTATGACCTACTTCATGGCAGCAAGAACAATGATAAACCTTCTTTTGTTGATGTTGAGACTTGATCCTCACATGATGAGGTCTGTCAACTAGTCGAGATGTTCTAGGAGGCAGCAAAAAAGTTTAGTTCATGAGCTGAGACATTATCAACGCATTTGGCTTTGGCATATCATGGGTCTCAACAGGATGCATAGTGCCACTGTATATTTTCTCTTATGAGTTACAAAGATAACATTCCTTCACATAATTATACACATTACTATGTACTTCTTTAATGGCTGCACAAGCATGTGGGCAAGGAATGCCAAACATTTGCCAAACTTTACATATGCATTCCCTTAGTATCAAATTCACACATATGTCTCCACACAGTGTTCGAACCAATGTAATATGTGAGCCATGCAGCTGAACTATCATAACTTCTGCCTTGAAAATATTTTCCTTCAACTTTGCTTTAACATTGGGACTAACTATGCTTTTCCACTTATTTATGGTTGCCTTACTTGCAAAAAATTTCTTACTCAACTTGTCCCTATACTTATTTATAAGAACGCATATATTATGCCTCCTCTCCTCAAGAATCCATGCATTAAATGATTCGGCCAAGTTGGTTGTTATCTTATCCTATTTTTGAAATGGAAACAATGATAGTGCCCACCGATCGATATCACTTTGGTTTTCAACCCATCTTGCTAATTATGTAGAGAACATCCTCAAATTTCCCATGGCCATACAAAATTCGTGCTCATACCTTGCATAGGCAATGTAATCAAGCAACTTTAGTGCCTCTTATTTGCTGTTCCTTCCCATTCCCCTACAAACTTTATTAAACTCAGAGCTAAAATTCTCCTTAACATGTCAATAGCAAAATGCATGTCTATCACCACCAAATATGGCTCTAACAGCACCAATAATAGCATTATTTCTATCAAAAACAATAGTTACTTGTAACAAACCAAGGTATCTTTAATATTTTACAAAAATCAAGTCTAATCATCATGAGTTTTACTCCCAACTATTGCAAAAGCTAATAGAAACAACTCATTATCGACATCGTATGTTGAAGCTGCCAGTTAGGTGCCCTGATAAGGACCACTGAGGAAACATCCATCCACATATAAAATAGGCCTAACCCTTAGCAAGAATCCTTTAATGGAACAACCATATGCAATAAATAAATGTTCAAATCTATTGTTCTCAGAAACTACCCATTTTGCTACAGTGTCAGCATCAGTCTCCATTAGTCTATTACACAACCAAGGAACAAGCATATATGATTGGTCAAGAAGCCCATTTATTTCCACCAATGCCCTCTCTTTCGCTCTTAAAGCTTGACGATAAGTTAGACTAATGCCATAGTTTCTATATATGTCAGCTTTAATTTCATTGGGTCTTTTTTCCACATTAGACCTTACTACGTCATCAATTATAGACGAAGTCATTGTGCACCTTGTACTATAAGAAACTTTAAGGTCTTCTTAGGCAGAATGTAAGTGCTCATTTTTGAAAGTTGTTACACGAAGTAAGGGCATAGACTTCCTTAATGAATATGCTGTTATCTTTCATTGACATCCTTTTGCCTTGCAAACTAAAATTATTTTATTTGTGTTGTTCTTCACAAATTTATATTCAAACCTGTGTGCAATACTATACTTGTAGATTACCTGTCTATAATCATCAACACTTGTAAAAATCTGCCCAGGTCCTACTAGCAAATCCTTTCACTTTGTTGCATTTAGCTCAGGTATTGGTGTTGGGATACTTTGTATTGCACATGGTAAAACTTCAAGATCTTATGTAGCATATGAATTCTCAGCTGAACATCCTGCTCTGTATTTTCATTCAAATTATGTTTATTACTACCATCCATATTCATATTAGCATAATATTAATTATGCAACTATTAAAAAAACTTATCCATTAATTGAATCTCTTGTTGCCTCTGTACTTTGCTGTATTTTCCCAATGATGTACACATGAGCAAAATTATCATTCAATTTCATTAATTGATTTATCCCTTCATCATCTTTAAGGTCTAAAAGAGCATTGCAATCAAACTTTACTATGTACTTCAACTCTATTCCATTTAAATTACAATTCAAGCATAATGAAATCAATCTAACAAGTCCTTCAAGAGACACTCCTTCTCTAATCATTCTTCCATTACAACTCCCCCCATCATAATGCATTGTCCCATGCATATCTTTTACAATATCTCCACCAAAATGAAAATAACAAAAAATGTCCTTTAAACAACTACTTTCCATCATATCCAATAATATTAACCTACAAGAAACAAAATAAAATGTAATAATATATCACTTAGAAACAAGTTACTTTTGACATAAGTGATTTTCGCATCAGTTAAACAGTGATAGCATTCCATCTTAAAATATGGACACTCGATGATAAGTTCTTACACTTTTAGTTGCAAAATGTTGAATCTTCATGCCAAATCTTTAGAAATGTGAAATAAAAAAAATCTTTCATGTTCAGTTGCAGAAAATCGTTCCATCTTTTTCTTACGAAAGCCATTTTGCAAGAAATTAGACCTTCATGGAGTAAACCTTTTTATTTAGATGCAAGGATTTGCAAAAGAAAAAAACTGTCTGTACGCACCAGCACAACTCCTTAAGCTTCCTTGAGTCAATAATTAAGACAACTCCACATCTTCCAAGCATAACTCTATTTCAAGAATGGGTATTCTTCAACTTACAACTCCACCACTTACATGCAGCTCTCATTAATGGCGGGAAAGAGACAAATCGAGAGGAAACTGTTGGAGCAAATGAGTGTACATGTTATATTTACTCATAGGGGCATTTTTATCATTTCTTTCATAATTCTGATTGTGAAAAAACAATATGGGACTTGATTGGCCTTTTAGAATTAGTTGGGACTTAACTGATATAAAATTGATCCTTTGAAACTTGATTATCATTTTTCCATTATCTTATGGCTACCCAATTTAGGACTTTTTTGTTTAAGATTAAAAAATAAGTGATTTTTAAGTAGTTTAGAGATTTTATAAAAACAAATTTACTTTATAGAGATTTTATAACAAGTAGATATTATTTTATATTTGGTTATCATAATAAAAGTGATTATTAGTTATTATTTTTAAATTTTATGATATTTTTCTTAATTTTTGTTTTATAAATAATTTATTCTTACATTATTTTAAAGTTTTATAATATTTTCGTGCATCCTACTTCTTTAAAACACTTTTTTATTTAACAATTATTTTCAAAAGCTACTTAAAGTAACTTTTTAAAATAATTTAAATTTTTTTTTATTCTGATTATTCTCAAAAATTTAATCAAATATTATAAAAACTCACAAAATATATTTTTAAAAAGAAAATAAGTGATTCTTTTTTATAAAATAAACTTTAGTTACTAAATATCAAACTAATATCGTCACAACTCAAGAAATTCGCAGGAGGATCAATGCAATAATCAATACACATCTACTTCTTCCGTTCTAACTTTGATATTTGTCATTTTCCCCCCTTTAAAACAAGGATCAATTTTATTAAAATATAAGTAAATATATTTTTAAAAAAAGCAGTTAATTTGGGTACAGGATACTATAGCTTTTGCACAAGAACCTAAGGCAACAGTAAGGTCAAGAACATAACGAGTTAACATCTGAATAAATCCAATAAGTAGTAGAAAATTTTAAAAGGACCATTGATGGTGCTAAAACTTGAGCCCACTGGTCTTGTTGATCGCCTCGAATTTGAGAAAGCAGTGTTTCATTATCTACACAATCTCACATTTAAAAATAGAGTGAAATACTGCGTTGTCACCCATTCTTACAAAAGGTGGCAAAGAGAAATACCCTGAAATATTTCTTAGGGTTTGCAAAGCTGTTGGCAAAAAAAAAAAAAAACCAACGATAAGATAAGGACAATTATTGTTGAAACCAATATTTTAAAAGTCTAACTGAACATTAAACAAAAAAAGTCAGTGATTCTCGATTTTTATGATCTAACCAATTATACTATCAGTTAAACTAATGATGTAATAATTAAATAAAAGTAATATTAAATTTATATATAAAATAAATATACAAAACAAATCTATAATATGTTAATAAAATGACATAACATAACTGTAACAATATTCTAAATTGTCAAATATAGGTCAATCTTGATTAAATTAGATATGAATGCACTCAAAAGTATCTGTATTTGTACCTATAACTATTAACATCTTTATAAAAAAATGTCTCAAATCATATTTTATACATATGAATTGTCCAAAAATAAAGTTAGCTTTTAGTAAGAATCTGATTTTTGAATTTGTCTATTTTTAAAAAAAAATTAAGCTTCTTTAAATATTATGTTTAAAACTGTCTAATTTTCTAAAAACTAGTCCGATTTTCAATATAACTTTGGATTTTAGCTTAATAATGACTCAACTTCAATCTAATTCAGTTCAATCATCAAAACGGTTTTCTATCCAAACCGAGCTATTAATAACTTCGGTCAAAGATCCAATCAATCCAACTATCCAGTTTTTAAAATAATGGAAGAAATATGTTTTTCAAATAGGGCTATTTTCAAAACATATTTTTGTTAAGTGGATTAGGCTAGAGTTTGAATAAACCAAACTGTATGTCTTGCTTTATATTTATGTTAAAAAAAATCTGTAGAATAGGTTTGTAAGGACTTAGACTTATTCAAACTTTAATCTGACTTATTTAACAAAAATATATTCAAAAAAAATCTACTGAATAATTATTTGAATGAGTTTTGAAAATAAAAAAAATGATTAAAAAATCAGCTTAAATCATCATCATAAAATATATATATAATAGTGAAATAAAATGTAAAAAATTATTTTTAAAATTAAATTATTTTAATATGAAATGAGGTGATAAAATATGAGATATTAGATATGAAGTGAAGGGTCAGAATTTTCTCGCCATTGAGGGACGCTGAGAGGACAAGAATCTGAGGGGATCCGGACCCCTTCATTGTCACATCATGATGGCTTTAGAAATTGGTATCCAAAAGCTCCATGATTCTTGATAGGTTCTCATCCGATATTCATCTTTTAGTGTCAATGTGTCATAATGATAAATGTTTATTAATAAGATTAAATCCGTTTAAATTAAATTTAAACAATTTAAAATTTTTAATAAGTTAAAATATATTTTTTATCTTTTAGTTTTATGTAAAATTTGAATTTATTTTCTTAACTTTATAAAGTATTTCTTTTAATTTTTTAACCTTAATACCGTTGGTTTAAAATGATTATTTTCTGTATTAATTATTATTATTTAAACAAATTAAATATAAATAATAATATTTGAGAATATTTTATCAATTTTCAAAAATTTCAGATAAAAATTTTTGGTGGTGAAACCAATAATATTAAAAATAAATAATAAAAAATATACTTTATAAAATTAAAAATTAAAATAAAATTAAAATTAATAAACTAAATATATAATTCCTTCATTACAAAATATAAAATATTTTTAATTAAATCTTACTCTAACTATTTACTTTTAAATTAATTTTATTTTTTTATATTTATTTCTATCAAACACCCTACAATAAATATAAAATCATTATAAATAAGGACATTAAAAAAAAAGATAATAATTATATCTCAAAAAATTACCTTATATTTTTTAACATTTAATTTTTTAAAAAAATATCTTACATTTTAATTGAGGAAGTATACTTCAGCCTTTCTAACATTTAATTTTATATAGTTTTATTTTAAAAAACAATTATAATATAATAAAATAATTTGATCTTTAAACTATAAGGAGGAACATCAAAATATCCTAAATTCCTTTTTTTCTTCACTTTCACTCCAGAACATTTAAAATCATAATAATCTTCTCACTGCTGTTAACTTTAAACATCAATTAATTAAAAAATAATAAAATTACAGAAAAACAAAAGAATCACATAAAAACACTTAAAAATTATAAATTTTATTGTTTTAATTCTTTTCTATAAGTCCTTTTTTATAATTTTTTTAATCAATTAATAATTAAAGTTAATGGCTAAAAAAATTGCCACAATTTTAAATATTTAGTGATAAAGCTAAACTAAAAATAAATTTAAAATCTCAAACACACCAACGCCCAGAGTTTAATGGCTAAATTATCCTTCTACCCATTAAAATATGATATTCATTGAAGGGAATTGCTAATTAGTTTCAGAGTAAAGACTTCATAGACTATACATATGTTGTAACAAACTCTCCTTTAGACATAATTCTCATAATTTAAATGGAAAGAAAAACATCTCGATAAGATTCTAATCCTACACAAATCAGGAACCCAAAAAAAAAAAAACTAACAGAAAAAATAAAGTCAAAAACCTCAATCACAGAAGGCAAATTATGCTTCATTCTACGTCACTTTCTTAGTTGCAAAATCCCCAATACTAAATGACACGCAGATATGAACTTAGTTAAAATAAGTAAATGACCCAGATTAGAGTATAACTTCAAAACTTAAAAAGTTTTCAACTTTAATATGTTTCGCTGTATTCATCATTGTCAACAACCATAGAACTAGAAAACAACAGACAACTCAATTCCTCTACCACAGATCAAATTCCAAAAATTTAAACTACAAAAGGGAATGATGCATTAAAACTAGTAAATGAGTTGTTGAACTCCCACATATTACACAGAGAGACTAGAATCAAGAACAAAAATTCTAAATTTTTTGGCAGATCAAGCATCGGCAATCGTGACCTCAACCTCGACACCAGGTTCAATTGTAATCGAGGTGATCTGCTTAACCACGTCAGGGGAGCTATAGAGATCAATCACTCTCTTGTGCACCCTAAGCTCAAATCGGTCCCATGTGTTGGTGCCTGAATCAAGACACAGATCCATAAGCACACACAGAAAAGGCAAGAAGATGACAAGATCTCTCAGCATTAAGAACACAACCAGACAATCGATTAGATCATTAGACCAATCCTAAATTCAGACCTCCAAATTAGGAACTACACACACACCACACACCAACAAGTAATTACAAGACTCATAATCCAACCAAATTTGAAACCATTCATGTAAAGTTACTCAGTATATGGTTACAAGCCAACATGTTCTGTTTTTTCCTTGAATGACCAACATGTTATTCTAATCTCATCAAAATTAACTTTGATCTAACTTCAAAAAAAATTCTTAACCATCCAGACATGATCACATTTACTCCATTAATGAAATGAAACTCATAATTACAATTACAACACAAGGGGCTCCCCTCCCAGATAACACATCTAAAAGAGATAAGATTTAGAAAACCCAGAGAACCAATAATTATGCAGTTCCAAAATTAAAAAATATGGCCAAAATTTCAGAACAGGAACAAAGCATTCAGGGAATCTAGCAAGTAAGAACTCCAACAGGCCAGTTAACCAAATCACATTAAACTACATCACTCCAGGAACACCGCAAATGGGTTGTTTAAGGACTAATTTAGCCAAGATTACCTTCACCACATGGAGATTTCCTAGTGGTAATGTGAAGAACTTTAGTGGGCATTCTCACAGGTCCCTTGACCCTAAGCCTCTTGTCCTTGGCACCACGAACCAAGTCCGCGCAAACTATAAACAGGTGAAAGAAAACTCTATCATCAATAGAATCAGACATTAGTCATCAGCAAACTGAAGTTAACAACAAATCAAACTCATTTAAGAAAAAAAAATCACAGAATTAATTCAGAATTATAACTCCTCGCTTTAAGATTTACCGGTGCATGGAGCATCCACAATAGTCGAATAATTCAAAGTATACAGCAGTTCGATTTCAACCTAATCAAAAAAATTAACCAAATAACGAAGACACCGAAAGGAAAAGCACACCTTTCTCAAGATTTTTCACGTGCTTGGAGGACAGCGTGATCCTAATCTTGTGAATCTGCTCTTGTGGCTCCTCCAAACCCGGTTTAGTAGGCTTCATCGCAGCGTACGCCATCGTCCCACCTTTTGTCAGCAAGGTCTCTCCTCTACACAAAATTTGCAAAAGCCATTCAGACGTATACGAGACAACATTAACATATAGAATCGAATCTACAAGCACTCGCAAACAAAAAACCATCATCATGAACAGTTTGAGGGAAGAAGAAACCTGAGCAATCTCACGACAGCACTGGGTGAGGCGCTCCAACTGGGAAGATGAAGTGAAGAATGACCTAGGTTTTGTTACTTTATATTGGATGTGTTAGGGTTTTCATTCCCAGGTTTTTTTTTGGACGAAAACTCATGGACCTAAATGGGTAAACGGGTGAGACATATTATAAATTGGGCTGTAAAGGTTAGGCCCATATTTCACTATATTAATAAAATTTGTATTTGTAATAATAATTTTGAGAGAAATTCTAGCATCACCCAATGTATCACACCATTTAAATTATTTTAATTTCTTGTGTTTTTTCTCTCTCATCTCATTTATGATAATGGTATAAAAAGAAAATATAAAAAATTAAAAATACATTTTATTAAATTAAATAAATTATTTAAAATAAAAATTTATTCAATTAAACTGATATAATTTTATTAAATAAAGCATGAATAAAACGATACTCCTAAGCCATGCAAGAATTTCCCATTCTCATAATTTGTATTTGTAATTGTAATTTTAGGTTGGAAAATTACTGTATGATCCTTTAATGGACCAAAAAGAAGGTTCGGCCCATATGACACTGTTCGGCGCACGCAAACTTATACAAACATAATTTTTTTTTTAATTTATTAGGGAAATAGTATAAAAAATTTACACTAAATAATATGTTTCGCAACTTGTATAAATCAGGTTGATTGGAAAAAAAAAACAGTTGTATAAATCAATTTCTTTTCTTATATAATATATAAGTAAAGTGTTATCAAACAAAGGTTATCTCCTTTACAATCCTTTTTTTAAATGGTTATCTATTTCCAACAACGCTGAAAATTGAGATGTGATCATTTCATGCATAATATTATCATCTCAACTTGATTCATATGAGCTCAACATTAATGGGGAGAATCATATTAGTTTAAAAAACAAGATTTGTACATTGATATGCCCTGACTCTGAAGTACTAAGTTGCAAATCCACCTCTTTTCAAATGCAAGTGATAATAACCCTATTTATTTAAAATTAAATAAATAATTTTTAAGTAGTTTAGAGATTTTATGAAAAAATATTTATATTGTTGAGATTTTATAAAAAAAACATACATTATTTTATGTTTGATAACAATAATAAAAAAGTGATTATTAGTTAATTATTTTTAAATTTTGTAATATCTTCTTTAATTTTGGTTTTATAAAAATGATTTAATGTTATATTATTTTAAAATTTTATAATATTTTTGCATATCCTGATTTTTTAAAACACTCTTTTTTTGAGTATCTTCTAAAAATAATCAACAATTTGCTTTTTTATTCTAATTATTTTCAAAATTTTAAACAAACATAATAAAAATTTATAAAATAGATTTTTTTTCAAAAGATAAATTATTTTTTTTCATAAAATATGCTGAAACATACAAATCCAATACTTTGATGAGTGATTTAATTTAATATGAAAAATCTGGAATTCATTGGGAGAACCTTCATCTTTGATGTCAACAAGAAATTCTACATATGAAGGGAGCAGTGCTCTTACACACTTGTTATTAAAGATTGACCTAGGTTTTGTTATTTTATATTGGACGTGTTAGGGTTTTCACTCCTGTTTTTTGTTTGGACAAAAACTCATAGGCCTTAATGAGTTAACGGGTGAGACACATTGTAAAATGGGCTGTCAAGGTTAGGCCCATATTCACTGTATTTGTAAAGAAATTCTTGCATGACCAAATACACCACATCATTTATATATTATCAATTATCAAATAAAAATATATCACATCAAATTTATTTAATATTATATGTTGGTACCTCTCATTTATTTCATTTTAAATTATTTTAATTTCTTACATTTTTTTCCTCTCCTCTCATTTATGATAATAGTAAAAAAATGAAATATAAGAAATTAAACAAACACTCTATTAAATTTAAAAAATTATTAAAGATGATAATTTATTTAATGAAATTAATATAATTTCATTAGATATAATATGAATGAGATGTACTCATAAGTCCTAAACCCATGCAATAATTTCTCATTCTGATAATTTGTAATTGTAATTGTAATTTTGGATAGAAAAATTACTATAGGATCATTAAATGGGTCACAAAGGTTTGGCCCGTATATACAAAAGACTTTGGCAGAGACTAACTTTTTAAAAAAATTAATTTTTATTTATTTATTAGGAAAACAGTACAAAAAGTTTACACTAAACTATTTATTTTGCAACTTGTATAAATCAGGTGATTGGAAAAAAAAAACAGTTGCATAAATTGGATTTTTTTCTCATATAATATATAAGTGAAACCTTATGAAACAAAGATTATCTCAGTTACAATCCTTTTTAAAATGGTCGTCTCTCTCTATCAACCCTAAAAATTTGTGGAGTGACAAGTTCATGCATAATATTATCATTTCAAGTTAGTATGAGCTTAATACTAATGGAAAGGAGCGTATTAGTTTAGAAAATAAGATTTGTACATTGATATGCTATAGTCTCATAGGTGATGATCTGGCCACTAGATTTTTACAATTCACAGGCAAGCAGGGTGTTCACTTATCACAATTCATATGAATGAAACTCATACATATGCATAGTTTTGATGCTTCATCTAGTGAATTTTCCTCGTTAATATATAATAGATTAACTCAAGAAATTAAAAAAGAAACATATGTCTACTTTATTAAATGAAAAGTGATTTTTTTATCATTGTAACCTAATACAAAGTATTTTCTGATTTTTTTCAAAATATTTTTAAAATAAATCACTTTTTATAAAATCTCTGAACTATATAAAAATTACTTGTTTTTTAATCTTAAACAAATGGGTCTTTAATATGAAAAAACTGAAATTTGATATTGGAAGAACCTTTATCATTGATGTCAGCAGGAAAATCTGCACATGAAGGGTGCAGTATTCTTGCATGATTAAAATTGAAATCCTATTATCATAGATTTCCATTGTCAATAAATGTAATTTTAAATAATCAATTAGATTTTTTTTTATCCTTTTGTCTTTTGATTAGCTTTGAGAAGACATAGCTGCGACTATCTTGAAGTTCTTTGTTAATTAATTAGATACTTCTATTTATTGAGTATCAAGATTGTGTATAAATTATTGAGTATTAAATTATTCTGTAATTTTGTTATCATATAAGGTACATGAAAATTTTAAAAATTTGGCATTGTGAATTAAATGAATAATTTGAAGGCATTCTGGTAAGGTTGCTCATGCTTTTCAATGAATGAAGGCATCGTTAATAAATATATTGAATAATCAATTAGATATTAATTCTCTATTTACTGATTATCGAGGTCTCGGGGGAAAATTTTGTTGATTTAATTTTTATGAATTCAATATTATAAATTCAAAATTTATTTTTTTACCATTAAATTCAAAATTTAATTTAAACCTTCACTTTATATATATATATATATCTATATATTATCAAACTATTCCATAATTTTATTATCACCTAAAGTACATGAATGCTTTGGAAATTTGACGTTGACAATTAAATGGAGAATTTGAAGACATTCGAGGATGTCATCGGTCGGCGCTCAGCAAGTCACCCACAAAAAAAAACAAAAATTGGGCCATCCAGAGATTTTTTTTAATTTTAATTTTAATTTATATTTATAAAATAAAATTTTATAATTTTTTTGGATAAATATGTTCATCGTTAATCTGGACCATGCCAATTTAATTTGAATGGTCCAATTTAATGTTATAATTTTTATAAATTGACTATCTAAATGTACTTTGGATAATATAGATTCAATATTAAATTTTTTAATATTTTTTATTTTAATAAATATAAAATAAAAAATTTAAATCTAAACCTTGCATATAAAAATTTAATATTAAATCTGGACTGTTCAAAGTACGTACAGATAGTCAATTTATAAAAATTATAAAATTAAATTGGATCACCCAAATTAGATCAGGAGAAATTCTTAAGTAGACCGATACACCACATCATTTGTATTCTATCCAATAAAAATATGACATTTGGATGTCATTAAATATAAATTAATCTTAATATTATTAATAGTGGAGAAATAAAAGATAAAAAATTAAATGTGCATATTGTTATAAGAATAAAATCAATTAAAAAATGTCACACAAAATTTTATTTAGATATGTATAGCATTTTAATTGGACAAATTATAAATGGTTGTGCACCTAATCTATTTAAGTATTTCTCTTATATTAGTACTATCTAAACTAATGATGAATATATTTATCAAAAAATTTATAAATTTTTATTTTAATAAATATAAAATTAAAATTAAAATTAAAGCTGAATGGTTGAGATTTTTTATGGTGATGAGCACGTCACCAAAGAATGTCATCTATACATCTATATAAATCAGGATACAAAAGCATAATGAGAAGCCAAGTCAGTTGCATATTTTTCACCCATGTTGAGATGTGGAGAATCGCCTCATTAATTTTGCGATAATGCCATATCATTACTTCAGGAATATTATACAGTAGGCACACTGTTAATTTTCCCTTTATTTGTGCTGTAGTTGGGTTCATATAAATGATTATGATGCGTTTAACGTAATTACAATATCTTATCAATATATATTCTCTTGAGTGAATGCTTGTGATGTGTAATGGCGGATTATTTTTCAATAAAGATTCTTTCTCTTTGGTTATTTTATTTCATTAAAGTCCATTTTTATTCCTGTATTATTTTCATATAAACACCCAGTGTTCTGAACTCTTTACCATCCTTAAAGTAATTAAATCATAACAATGTAGCCCCTCATATTAAATATTAGCAAATGTTGATTATTAATTTTGCTAACTCAAAAATAAATTTGATTTAAATAATAGGAATATTACTTTTAAAGTAATTAAATCATAGCAATACTGCCTTTTTTGTTAAGTTTGAGTTAATAAAGTTAACAGTCAATGCTTTTCTATTTAACGTTGGAGGCAACATTTCTATTATTTAATTACTTTAAAGGTGACATTACTAAACAAAGAGTTTAAAACATTGAATGCTTCTATAAAAAATAGTTCAAATGCAAAAATCAACTTTAACCATATTTTATTTATAGATGAAATCACGTCATGAAATCATAAAATAAAAATAAATTATGCTCCACCCCCATGATATAGAATATTTATCATTGTGCTTGTAATAGTAATGTAACAATTTTACTTTATGTATTTTATAGGGAAATGATAAAAAAATTTCTGAAATATTTAAATGATAATGAAGTCTTACAAAATGAAATAATTCTTCTTAAGTCACTTGAAACTTTTCTGACATTAATATTTTTGTGAAATAACTATAATACCTTCAAGGGTTAATGCGCAACATAAATTCTAAACTTTTGCTCAAAAAGCTTTCCAAATTCTGAACTCTTAAAATATGCAAAATAAACTTTAAATTTTTAAATTCATAACAAATTAAGCCCTATCGTTATTTTTTAACGTCATTACTGTTCATCATGGGCCTGATTAATTAGTATCACAAATCCTAAACTATTACGGGAGTGGTATCTTAGACCCTGAACTATGAAATTTTGAGCAAATTAATCTCACCGTTTATGTGTAAAATATTAACTATTATGTAGACCAAATTTGCCTCAACATGATTTACCATGGTGAATGCATCGTTAGCTATAACAAATGACCCATAATTTTGTGAAATAACATTTTTTACTCCCTTTTTTGCAAATGATTAGTATCTCATATTTTCGTATACTTTATAACTCTAATTTAATCTTATTTTAAATAATATTTTTTAATTTAATGGTAAAAATTTGAGATGCCATTAAAAAATAAGTTTAAATATCATAGAATTATTAAAAGTAATTATTAATTTAAAATTAAAGCAAATTTTATTTTATGAAAAAAAATTAATTAGTTACTCTCTCCGATCCTATTTAGAAGACACTTCTTACAAGTAATTTTTGATTCAAAATATAAGACATTGTATAATAATTAAACCATTTTTTCAAATTTTACCCTTTTTTTAATTAACATAAAAGTATTTAATACAATTATATTATTATTTAAAATTAAAGGTAAAAATAAAAGTACTTCTCCCTTTTTTATAATATTAAGAAAAAAATTAATTTTTTTTAATATGCATAAAACAAGTAAAAGCATTTTATAATAAAGACATAAGAAAGTGTTTTAGAATTTAATGATATATTGGTACATCTCTACATTTTTTTATAACATTCTCTCATCTACTTCATCAAATATGACACATCATATCATATAGCACGATTTACTTGTTGCCTTTTATTCAACAAAAAAAAAACAATGAGAAATCTAGTCCCCCACCCCCACCACCCTAGATTTTAATTATTTTTAAAAACTTGAACAAATATTAAAAAGAACACACAATAAATTTTGAGAAAAAAAAATAATAAGTGATTTTTTATTTTATTTTTTTTAAAAAAGCTTAACAAACAAGCTCATATCAAGGACAAAAATACTTTTACAAGATGCCCAATAATGAATACTAAAAGGAATATTCTCTCCGGTCACTGTTATATGATATTTTATAGGAAAGGCTTTTTAATTCTTAATATACCTATAAAATACTTAATGAAGCATTAATTATATTTTTTAATATTACTTATATTTAAATTTATTAACTAATAGAAGGTGTAATGTAAATTTAAGAAATTATCATTTAAATAGGAGTAAAATTAAAAATTATTTTATTTAAAACAATTAATAACTTAATCACATCTATTTTACAGTGAATTAATGATAAATACCTTGTAATAGATAAGAGATGAAGTAGATTAACACGATAAACAATTAACATGTCGTGCTAGCGTTGTAATTGGCAATGTTGTTGAAAAGAACTATCTTGCCCATATATTGAAAAAACTTGTCTAATTTCTAAAGTAGCGCAAAAATAATCTCACCGAAGATAAATATGAATAAACTATACTATTAATGATCTCTTCATTGAAAAAAAGAAAATAAAGCGAAATCCATATCATGTTTTGAGATTACATTTCAGAAGAATTTTATTTCTTCTCTCGAGAAGGAAAAAATCGTTTCAACTGATATCTCACTTATATTTTCTTATTTCATGAAAAGAACCTCAACATGAATAAATTTGGATCTACATCAAAGTCATTCTAACTAATTTCATAAAAAATAAACAGCATTGCTCAACAATGACAGTCATTTCAACTCATAATAACTTGTCATACATGATATTTTAACTTGTTTAATTTTTGAGAAAATGACAAATAAATCTCATACAAAAAATAGTGACAAATAAGAACCACAAAATATAATAATTACTTTGAAGCCCTTAAGGACTTATGTGACATAATTTTTTTTTTTTTTGCAAAATTATGTTTCTAACCCTCAACTAAATAATAAAAAAATATAATTATCAACACTTAAACTAAAATTGTTAATAATAAAGACAAAATTGTTAATATAAAAAGCATAGTTGTTAGTTTAATCATGCAATAACTATACTTCCTATATTAACAACTTTATTTTTGTTATCAACAACTTTAATTTAAGTTTTAACCATATTTTTATTATTTTATCTAGGGTCAGAAACATCTTACAAAAACAAAAAATTATGACAAATAAATCTTTAGAAACTTCAAAATAACTACTCTATCTAGTGGTACCATTTTGTCATTGTCCTATTTTAAAGGGATTTATTTGTCATTTTCCCTAATTTTCTTTTACCTCAAAAACTTGCATTTTCATCCTACATAATATTTTAACTTGATATTCAAAAGCAAAGATCTAATCTCATAACGCAAAGAGCTACTGACGCACTACAAGAAGGTTGTGATTGCTCACAGCAATTCACAGCATGCTACAACGGTACAACCTCATGATGGCTAAGACACCGAAGGAACACCACCAAGAACCGCCACGCCGGCAAAGCCAAGGCCTTGAGGACACACCACCTAAAGCAATAATCAGGCTATGACCCTAGCAAGATCACAGAACTTGAGCATGTGCCCCAAGACTAGCTTTTTCCAACCATTCTGTTTTTAGTTACACCTTTGATACTAACCAATGGATAACAGGTATGGCTTTAAGACCACTGAACAACGCTATTTTTGAGGAAATCACAGGGATTCAATTATGGGTGTTGTTTCTATCATGCTCCATCTCCTCCGCATCGTCGAAGACTTCGTCATCAATTCGAAGCTACAATAAATTGAGTTGAAAAATTAATGTCATAAATTTTATATGAGGATGGATAGATGAAACTTGAGAACTGGGGCATATACCATCAAGAAAGAGATACTTGTATATGCAGGCAAAATGCCAATTTTAAACAACCAAGATTTCGGTTATGAATTCAATCACAACAATAAATCAATCAAAACGCAAATGAACAATATTGTCATCAAGTTAGGCAACAGAGGAGATTGAAGGTTGACAAAATTTCTCACCATAACAAAGAAAAATGTTTTCCTGACTAGAGTAGTCAAAAGTTAAATCAGGTTGACCTCATTGGATTGGCCTATTTAGCCACTTAGTTTGGAGGGTTGAATTGAGCCTTTACTTAGCTCGAAAAAAGTTTTGAATATAATCGCATCAACCCAACTCATTTAACCAACTGGTTGATCAGAACACCCCATAATTATTTTAATATAACTATAATGACATTGCTATAAATCATGTATGCAGAGAAAGCGCCAATTTCAAACAATCTAAAATCCAGCTATGAATTTTGTATGTGAGAGAGACAGAGAGAGTGTGTTATTATATTTTCAACTTTTTTCCTGGGGGATCAAACAAGTTAATTCACTTAACCCACCTAGTGAGCCGGATTCACATTTTCAACTCACATAACTATGTGAATCAAAATGGAATAGCATGCTTATCGCCTTATCCCATTTTAACGGCTATCCAATGCTAACAGATTAGGTTGATTGTTGAAACCTGGAACTCTTCATCACTCTTAATTCTCTAATGCATCGATCCAAAAAGCAAGAGAGATTAAAAGTTCTTTGAAGAAAAAGGAAGTAGCTCATAAAAGTCAGTTAAAACTACCAGAACAAAAGAAACGAGCTTGCTTTGCTAATCATGTATAATACGATAGAACTTGCACAAAACAAAGGACACCAAAACCCCTTATCTTGGGGAACAAGATTAATATTCTACATACTCTTCTTTAAACAGAAAACAAGAATACTCACATTAATTCAAGATCTCGAATATTTTATAATATAAAACTTTAGTCTCGCTGTCATGAAATTTGTGACTCTGACAGGCCTCCCTAGGTTACACATCCCCTTTTCCCAGCCTTGCCCCTCCCTATATCACAACTCACAACTTAAGGAAGTCCATATAGCTTGACCCTCTCCGTTGAGCACAACTTGGAGGACTTACGTAAGGAGAAAAAGGATTTCAGATTAAAGTTTCAGATTTGCAAATGACTATTATTTATTCAGGAATCAACAAATACTATTCTATAGCAAAATTTCAAAGCAATTGAAGAGGACAAATCAAGAAATACAATATGTAAAAAAATGAAAAAAAAAACAAAATGAAAGAAAGAGCAATAAGGAAATAATAATACTAAAAGTTAACAAATGAAAAATACATGGAGTGTTAGATATAAATAACACAGAATGGAGATAGGGTTAGCTGAGGTTTTTGTTCACACTTGTTCACTAGTGTAACAACGAGGTAGATAGAAGAATTCTATGGCACAACAGCCTACCTCAAGCACTGTATGAGCAAGGTCATGATCACCATTTGACTGACCAATTGTGTTGACAGGATTTTGAGAGACACATTCTTCCTCCTCTGAAAAATAGATTGTTAAAAACTAACAGATGCCTCTGAAAATAACAAGGCCCCAAGATAAATTCCTTTCACATACCTTCCTCTGCCATTTGGTCTGCGCTGAAAATCCATTCATGCTCTTCTCCTTCCTCTAAAAGAAACAAAAACAAAAAGTGAGCAAGTGCAAGTCACAACTAAACCAGAAAAGGGAGAGAATAACCAGTAAAACAAAAACACAATCTAATTCCCTGAAGAAGAATTGTACTCACCATCATTTGGTTCAGGATTAAGCTCTGCACACTCGCAGAATATTTCAAAAAGAGAATCCACTGCCAAACAACATATTGATATGCTATCAACTCTTCACCAAATCGAAGTTACAAAAATGCTACCAGAATGTAAAATGCCAAATTGAAAATCATACATTCCCATAAATCAGAGCAACAACTGTAAAGGGGTACATACATTGACTTGGATCTGATGGAATAAGCCTCATCTCTCTGATCCTGGACAGATCTAAGGTTTCATTCCATTCTGAATCTGAGTTGTCAGACTCATCCCCATCTGGATTAGTCTCAATCTTCGGGAAGAACACCAGTTAAAATCAGAAGGGATCCAATCAAAGGGCAAGAAGTTGACAATGTACAAAGGGTAAACAGATAAGGAGGAAAAAGCATACAAAGAGCACTTAAGTTACAGGGGTAAAAGAAAAGAAAGAAAGAACATGGAGATGGAAAAAAGGATAAAGATAAAGAAATTTCACATGACAAAAAATATAAATTGTAGTCATGGTATCCTACCCTTAAATCTAGTTTAAAGTTCTTCAAAACTTTGATTTCAATAAACTAAACTTCAATTCTATAAGTTTCTTCAAACAGTATTTCTTGTAACATCTCTTGACCACAGTGAATTTTCAATTGTTTTCGTAAACAATATAATGTGATTGATACCAGTAGCTTTAACATATGATACAAGTTTCTCGTTATCCTATACTCATTCCAATCAACAAGAAGTAGTAAATGTTACGTGTTCATGTTCTTGGCAAATAAGTATACTGGTATTTAAATCCAAGTTTCACAATTCTGAACCACTTTAGTAGCTTGATATTCTATAATCTGCAGTGAAGTTGGATCATACAATTCCAAGTTTAAAACTAGAATAGGACAGTTACTTCAAAAGCCTTCCAACCCTTGGTCATACTAAACCACAAAACAAACCATATAGCTCAAACAAACTTGTTATAGAATATAAATAACCCCTCTGGTCCTATTCATAGGGCTCAGAGAGAAATTTTTTTTATCCCATTTATAAATCACTTCATTAAATTTTCAATACAAATTTCTTCTTTTACCCTCCATTGAATGTTGGAAAGAGAAAATATATTATTAAATTATGTATACTTAATAGGGATAAAGTTGATCACTCATTAAATTTTAAGAGAGTTAATGAGTTTTAAAATTTTTCTTAGTTCCAGTGAAACATATTAAAAGAGACTCATAAATAGAACGAGAGGGGTATATTTACAAGGACCCAGACCACAGAAATTAGAGAGTATAAATACCTGCGTATATATACAAGGAACTGGATAGGCCTCAGGATCTCTTGATACTGCATGAAGTGACACAGACAAAAAATCAACTGCATAGCCTTTAGCCTTGTCCACATCACTCAACCATATCACTTGCCTGTAAAACCCAAGTCAGCTTACTAGCACAACTGCAGTGTCACAATCAGCAACTAAAAATGCATTTCACAAACTTATTTACCTGACCTTATTAAAGTTGCTAATAAACAGTATTGCATTAGCACACTCAACAGCATCAACAAACAGTGAAATGGTGATGAAATGAATTAACGAAATGTTGTAATGTATAGTACACACATGCGCGCACCCAGACACATATGCTTATGTCAGTGTAAATATAGAACAATCTGAATTTTAACCACAATTCCCATGAAATAATCACTAACTTGCACACATCAATCAAGATAGACCACAGGACAGAAAATTAGTCATGCACAGTGTCTGCGGCACCCGTTCTATTGTTATTTAGATTTCTTATTCATTTAAACTTCTGCTCAAAGACCCTAACAAAAGGTGCATTGTATCCCCTCTGAGGATTGATAAGGTCCATTGGCCGCAACTTCATTTTCACAGTTTTTAACTTTAGAGGCTCACAATACACGATTAATTCGAAGATACCGTTAATATTTTTTAAGCATTAATCCCAATGAATCTCCGTTTAAATCAATTCAACCACTCACAATAAAATTAACAAAAGAATTGCAAGTAACACGGACAGTCATATAAATACACAGATGAAAACAACATACTTGTTAGAAACGTAGAGAGTGCCATGGGACTCGCGAGGACGATTAGCGAGGACGACATCAACCCCTGGTTGGACGCGCATAAGCTCCTCACCATTGTCGGTATCAAGCACTGGTTGGCCGACGCCATCTCCGGTCCTCTCGGTGAAGTTTCTCAGACCAAAAAACATATTTCTACTCCCTGAGTTTGTTTCCCCTCAACTTGTTCTTAAGGTGGAAGCAATGGTCAGGAACCTGAAGAATTCTAGGTGGTAGCAGAGGCGCGACTAGTCGGAGGTGGAAGCACAAGTTCTAGAGGCGGAGGCTGAGGCGCGGCGAGATTCGAATTCGAGCCACCGAGGGTGAGCACACTAAGCAGATTCACGACGAGCAGGAGCAGTCACAGCAACAACGCAGTTCTCTCGGAGGCTAAATTAGGTTAGGTTCCAGGGGAGTCTTTTGCTAGGCTAAAATACATCAAACTCTGCTCAATTTTTGACAATCCCTCGTGTTTAAAAATTTAAAAGGAGCATTTCAGACTTCAGGTAAGACCACGATAGAGATTTAATTATTAATAGGTTGAAAAAATTTTAAAATTTCAAGTTGAGGGAGAAAAATTAAATTAATTCTAATTCTAATAATAAAAAGATTAAAATATTATTTACTTATTATATAAAATTATTAATTATTAATTTTTTATTGTATTTGTTAGTTTATCAATGTTACTTGTAAATTACATCCATTTATTAAATAATTAGTAACAATAATTGTTAATTTATTAATTTTATTTGTTAATTTACTAATACCAGTTATAAATTAAAGATCAATCAATGATTTATAATTGATGTTAATAAATTACAAAACGTGTCAATAATTTACAACTAATGTTAATAAATTAACAAATAAATTTAGCAATTCAATAATTAAGTTATTTATGATTGAACAATTAATGTCAAATTTTATATAATTATTAACATGTCAACTCATGTAATTTACAACTCATATTCATAAATTAACAAGTAGAGTAAGAAAATTAACAATTAATGATTTTACATAACAAGTTAAAGGTGTTTTAGTCATTTTACCGTTGAAATTCTTTTATCTTTTTTTCTAAACTGAATTGAAATTTTAAATTTTTTTAAACCAACAGTAATTGAGTCTTTATGGTGGTCATTAACTCGTATTCTCTCAAATTTAAAATTAACTTTTAAACATTTTATTTTTTTATCATAGACTCCTTTATTATTATTATTATTATTATTATTATTATTATTATTATTATTATTATTATTATTATTATTATTTAATATTTAATTATCTTACAAACAAAATTATCATGTCATATTAAAAAAAGGCACATAGCAATTTATGTGATATTCAATGTAAGTTATAACTTTATAAAAATTTTATTTACTTTTTTCTGTTATTATTAATTTATATTGAATTCTACAAAAATTGTTACATTTTTTTAATATGATGTGACACCTTTTGTTGCTAAAAAATAATAGTAGGAGAATATATTAAAAAACCTAAAAGACTAGGAATAATATTTTTAAACTTTTAAAGGTTTTGTGCAACTACATTAAATCTTAGGAGAGTTATATATAACTTAGTTCTTTTTTAAAATAAAAAAGGGTTAAGATTTTTTTTTTTTCCTCAAAGTATTCATGAGTATGGATGTCCTGAACATGATTTTGGATCAATACGTCCACTCAAAGTTTAAAAACACACCCATTTCTATGATACTATCAATGTGTCAGTTAACTAATGTTTTTAACCAAAAATGTACACACCACACTCCATCTAGCATTCAAGTGAATGCTTAGCCAAAAGTTAATAAGGTCACTTGAGCCCTTAAAGTATTTGCTTGGGTTAGGTTTTTTTTTTTTTTTTGGTTGGGGGGGGGAGAGGAATGAGTTTCTAATGATATTCTGTTTAGTTCAAGAAGGAAGGAGAGGAAAAGTAATAATTAATTTACTATTATACCTATATATATTAACTTTTATTTTTATCCTTCCATCTTTGTATCTTGTGTAAATTAATTTACACTAATTTTTTTTATTATGGACAATCATTTGATTAAATAAACAATAACTAAATATGTAATTTCAATGAACGTTGATGATTTCTTATTTATATCCATAACAGTGGTGGCTTTTCTTGTTAATTATGTTTGATTTTCTAGTTTGTGTGGATGGTAAATTAAATTGAAATGAAGTGAAGTAGTTGGTAATCCAGCTTCTTCATCGCAAATTCCTGAAATGAGAATTGCAAACACTGATCAATTAGCTTTTTCTTGTTTAAATTGAATTATACTCTGCAGATCCACAAAAAACTCATGATGGACATTGTTTCCATTGCTCTATGGGTTCCTAAAGATAACCCACGCTTGAAGACCATTGTCAAAGGTAGGGAATGACGATAGCAAGCAAGAACGGGAGTTTATTTTACATATGGCATTCATGAAATATGAGCAACAAAAAAAATGAGGGCAATTTAGTTCAAATATTTGGTCTCTTTTAAAAAAATTTCAATTTGGAAGGGGCTAAAACAAGGGGAAGGGAGGAAAAATTTTGTCTCCTCTCGCCTCCAAAATTTCTTAATCAAACAAGGGGAGGGGAACATTTTCCCTTCCCTTTCCCTCCCTCTAAAATCCTCCAACCAAATATGCTCTTAAGGACACCTTGTTTTGAATTTGATCTTGATCATTTTTTTCTTTAAACATTAAATCTATTTATGCTTGCCTTATTGTTCGCACGTCACATATAGATGTTAAGTTAGTGGGTCTCACTTATATGAACACATGTCATCCAATTAGATGCATAGTTAGAAATTAAAGATAAAAAATTCCTCTCTCGTATCACTTTTAGAAATTAGATTAAAAAATTTCTCCACGTGTGCATTAGGTAGTCCGACTCAATTTTTTTTAAAAAAAGTTACTCTCTTCTCTTAACATCAACATATTGCCTTCTCTGCATATCCTTAGTCCCAAAACCCAACTCAAATGTAGACAAACACTTGCCCTCTCTTGCAATAATCATGAGTCTCAATTATCAAAATTGAAGGCAAGTGCTTGATAAGTGTAGGCATGGAGGAATTTTTTTAAGAAAAAATTTCAATCAACATACCAGGTATTTACATGGAGAAATTTTTTTAAAATTTGAGTCAGACTACCAAGTTTATACATAAAAGAATTTTTATAATTTAATTTCTAGCTATGATTAGATAGAGGAATTTTTTAAAAAATTTATGAGTAGGTATCTACTTGGATGCCATGTGCACGCACGTATGTGGTTCACTCACTTAAATTAATGTTTGTTTGTGTGTGTTAATGACAAGACATGCATGGTTAGTTTTTAAAATTTTAAGGGAGAAATGACCTAAAATTGAGTTTAGGACACTAAATATCTTTGAGTAAATACTTTGAAAGCAAAAGTGACATATAATTAGTTGGGCAACCAACGTATAACCTTTAACTAGTTGGGCAATCGACGTGGATGCCACGTGTAAATATATGCTTACAAACAAGATTTTGAAATAATTTGCCAATATATCTAGAACATCCAATTGTTATTGAGGCGTTAGATGTCACTTGTTACCTCTTGCAATCTTTAGGTAAGGGTTCTAATAGAGCACAAGGGAAGGCATCAAAGAATTTCACACAAGTGCTCATTTATCTCATGGTTTAGCACATGTATTGTTACATTTGTTAATTGCCATGACCTTGGACTTTACAAGCTTATATTTTTAGGCCCTTGAGAATCTATCATGTATCAAACTTGAAAAACTTGTTGTTATTATGTGGTGAATCTTTTTGTGAAGAATTCGGATTTGAATTGGTGAAAGTATATATGAAGCATGGTTTTGGAATTATAGATGAATATTAGTTTATCAGTGTTGAAACTACTTTTGTTGGCATAGAGTTATTTGATGCTGGGCTTGATGTTGAAAGTTTTGGGCTCCAAATGTCTTAAATCCAATTTTTTTTTATTTGAGATCTCATTTTTGTAAACTATGCTAATTTTTGTCAAATTGTTTTAAAAAGTGCGTTTAAATATTAGGGTATTCTATTTTTATATCAAAGCTTCACGTTTTGAGGTTTGGTAGTTTATTTACAAACTTTCTTAATCGTCATTACAATATTATTTGAGACATGTGCACACTCTTTATTGGTTAGGAATTATTTTTTAGGTTCTAATTATGAGTTCTTAACTCAATTGTGCCTATTTTTATTATCAGTTTGAATTATTCTATTATTTATATATTATCTTTAGGACTCTTATTTTTTAAGCTTAAGAATATTTTAGGGCTCTTGTTTAAGTTCAAAAACACTTTTGAGCTCTTGTTTTCAAAGCCCAACCACGAGGGCTCGGCCCTAATATATACATATATATACTTCCTACATCCAAATTATAAACACTTTTAAATAAAATATCACATATCAATAAATTTTATTAAATATACCTAACAACTTTATATTTTTAAAAAAAACTTCCAAAAATATTCATTATTTAATATATTAAAAAAAGAAAGGATGGAAACTAATTATTGATAGAGAAGGGGTAACATAAAATTAGAGCATTTAATGAAACCTTAATCTAACCAGAATATTTTAAATTTTAGAATGGCAAAATTCCTTTAAAAGTGCTTTATAATTTAAAACAGAAGGAGTATTATTTTTTTAATTTAAAAATGAAGCTCAAACTAGGATGGGATAGGGGTCTTTGAGTGTTCAAGAGTCAAGACAACCTTGTGTTTTATGGAGTGTTCAAAATGAAGTTAGAGTTCAAACTAAGACTAAGATAGGGATGGGGATGGATTGATGAAAGTTAGGGGAAAATGACAATTGTGTGGCGTTGTTGGTGTCATAGGTAATGGGGAAGCTAACGGAAGTAGTTTCGCACAGAGTGGCAACAATGACAACTTTTTGATTTGACCTAAGATATTGGGGGTGTGACTTCAAGTGTTCAAGATTGAGGTTTGTGTTGAGTTTCTTTGATAATAAGATTTTTTACATCTTTATAAATGGTATCAAAGTCATATTTTATCTAAAACTTGTATGAAGATGTCACTTGAACCTTATAATTGCACATCATTTAAACCCTAAAAAATGAGCCTAATTCACATCTCATACAAGTGGTATTAGATTAAAATTTTATTTCAAACTTGTATAAAAATGTTATTTGAAATCCATGATTATGCATCACCTAAAGCTTAAAAGGTTAGACTATTATGATATTAAAGTCATGACTTAAACATGTTATGACACGCAATACTTGAAGGAAATTTCTCATCATTCTTATATTATCTCAGTTTGCATTATCCTATCTAGCTCAATAGTTTGGAAATTTAAAAGTTTTGTAAAAGTTTGTGTTCTACAAGTAGAATATTGAGTATTGAAGCATAATGTAAGACTTTTTCCAAATATGTTTGACTTCTTAAAAATTTTAAAAAACAATCTTTTAGT